GATTGCAGCTGGGTGGGGCTGGCCTCAGGCACAGGAGCACCTAATTGTTTCAGGCTTTGGAAGGTGGGGCAAACCTCCTATGTGGGTCTTTGAGAAGCAGAAGTCTTCTGCAGCTGACAAGCCCTGCTGCACACAGGTCCACACACACACTCAACACAGTCCTGCCCCGTGTGAGCGCCCTGACCTCCCCAAGCAGACCCAGTGTCTCCATGGCGGGAGCCCCACACACTCCGACACTGCCCTACACTCTCCACTTGCTCCTTGTGCACACCCTGCCCACTAAAGTCGGCTCAGTTGCCAGGCTGCAGAGAATCTAGTCAGCAATCTATGCAGGCCCACAAGTTGCCTGAGGGCTTGTTGTTGGTTGGGGCCAGTCTCTAGGGTGGGCTGCCTGTCCTGGCTGAGCTGGATTAAATCGGTGCTCTAGCGGGTGGGGCAGACCCTGGGCTAGCAGGCCTCAGGGATAACTCCAATGGAGTCTGTGTCAGCATGCCCACACCAGGCCACAACAATGTCGCCGCCACTGTCCCAGTCCCTGGAGAGGTCTCACCTCTCACCGAGATGCACTCAGGGCCTATTAGGTGAGTCTCTTTTCACCACAGCACTGTGTACCTTTCTTTCTGGTGACTTTAGGATGCTTTCTGAAATGGGTGAGTTTGCACGTGGGCCCTTTAAGAGCCGGTTTTAGTTTCTTTGTGAACTGGGTTTTCTGGGGGTCCTCCCCAATGTTTTAGTAGCAGGCAAAGTCAGAGATTATGCCACTCGTCTTGATTGTGCTGGGTCCACAAAATGCCCACAGCGGGGATGCTCCCTGGCTCAGGCCCCCACTCCTTCAGGGAGGGTTGCGGACCTTAGCGCTGCTCCCGGCGGCCGTGAAGCTGGCGGCTTGTGAAGGTGGCATTTTTCCTCTCCAGAAGGGAGTCTCTGCCTCTTCCACCTCAGTTGGGATTGTACATTGTTGCAGGAGTTCCTCTTATCCAGTTTTCAGTTCTGTCTCAGGGGTAATTTGTCCACGAGTAGTTATAAATTGGCTGTGTCCACGGGAAGAGGTGAGTTCAAGTCTGCTTACGCCGCCATCTTGACTCGAGATCCGGGAAATGCCCTTCCCTTTCTATTCAGTTGTGTACTAAGAAAGGAAACAGCACAAGGGAAGGGAAAAGTCAAACTGAGGTTTTTTTCTTTAATTATCTCTATCACCCAGAGTGAAAAGAAACAGGACTCCTGTGGCTGACGCTGAACATGCCTGTCAATGAGCGATAAGCAGCTCAGGGCAATTTTACACAGCCAAGCAAAGATGAATTTCTTGGAATCTCATCAAAGACTGGCCCGTAATTTATCAGGATAGTTTATTCATAAAATTACGTGAGATACTCATTAAAAGTATAGATTTGCAGAATCTCATGGTGGTAGCGGGAGAGGAGAGCTCTGGAAATCTGAATTTCAAACGAGTTCTTTAGGGAATTCTTATCCCCACTTACGTTTGGAAACCTGAACTCTGGTCCCATAGTTCAGACTGAGTAACTGAAATACCACTGCCACCTGGTGGCTTCAGGTCCAAATTACAGGTTCGAATACCATTGCACGATAGAATCAGTTCAATGTTGCAAGTTACCACCCAAACACATTTAATTCTTAGATATCTCTGTCCTCTCCTACTCACAGACATATTTTTGAGGTTTCTAGATTATCTGATGTAGAGTTTATATAATTTATAACCCTTGAGGACACAGCCTCTTATCATTTCAATTCTTTTCTTAAAAACTAAATTTGAAAATAGACCTTATCTTTTGATTCTTTCCAACTGTAAACTCTCATAACACGTAATCAGTTTGTAGAATAAAATAAATCATATCTACTTACGTAAAATAATCTGTAGAAAGCTCTTCTGTCAGAAAACCTGAGAGAGGCAGAATTGTAATAAAGAGAGAGATGTCTGAATGGAATAATTAGTTTTGCCTGCTGGGCTCTATGCTTGTCCATTGAGGGGGGAATAAATCAAAGGAGATGATATCCGTAATTTTTTCTTTTTCTGCTTTACAGAGAATCCAGACTCTTATTCGTCTATCAAAAAAGATTATTTCCTAAACATTTGAATTGGAATAGATTTAGCTTTGCTGAGCTCAAATTCTTTCTGGTTTACCTTCATCATGAGAAATGGCCATACAGGGCGAGATGGGAGCAGAAGTAAGTGCTGCATTCTTAAATATAACTGGTATTTCACAATGGATCGTGGCATCCAGTCTTGTTTTACTAGGAGAACCAAACATGGTATAACATGACTTTGAAATCAGACATCATGCCACTGAGCCCCAGTGTGGCAACTCCACAAGACAGCTTGGCAGTGTTCAAGATGGTTTACAACCGACGATTGTATGTTCTCTGTGAAAAAAAATACATGGTAACAAGGAGGATGCTCATAAATGAAATACATGAAAATTACTAGTAGGTTATCCACAGCCATTCTATGACTTGGTATCCTTGCAGCCTCAGTAGAAAGACTTGTTCTGATGGATTTGTGTTGCAATGCTTTAAAAATTAAAAAACAATTTGTTGAGGTGAAATTCACATAACATAAAATGAACCATTTTAAAGCAAACAATTCAGTGGTATTTAGTACATTCAGAATGTTTTACAACCACCACGTCTAGTTCCAGATAATTTTCTTCACCCCAAAACAAACTCTGTACCCATTAAGCAGTTGGTATACCAATGTTTTTGAATGACGTAGGGAGAGAATTTCAAGAAGCTTTAGAAGCGTTTACATTGTTGCTAAAGCTTTTTGCATCCATCTATGTCAGTAGGGAGGAGTTTATAATCAGAGGCTTTAAAGAGTTTCACATGATGCAATCAGAACAGTAGTTCAACTATGGGTTTACTGGTGAAAAGAATTCTATTGTATGTCAAAGATGGTCACTGGCTTTGAAGATATGGCACATTCCTTTGCAAACAGAAAAGCCAACAAAAATGTGGGCAATAAGTCTGTGGGTTCCTTTATATGCATTTTATTAGCCAATGATAGAATTATTTATGCAAATTAATGGGAAGATATCTAGACAAGCATGTCGTGCCCACCAGCTTGAGATATAAAAAGGCCTGTGCAGGAGAACTCCGTTCACACTTGGGTAACTTGCTCTTCCCAATCTATCCAAATCCTTCTCAACTCCTGCCACCATGACTCGTTTCTTCAGCTGTGGAAGCTACTTCCCAGGTTATCCTTGCTATGGAACCAACTTCTACAGGACCTTCAGAGCCACCTCCCTGAACGTTGTCGTACCCCTGGGCTCTCGCATGAACTATGGTTGTGGATGCAATGGCTACAGCTCCCTGGACTACAGCTTTGGTGGTAGCAACATCAGCAACCTGGACTGTGGCTGTGGTGGCAGCTTTTCCAGGCCATGGGGCTCTGGCTCTGACTTTGGCTACTGCACCTACTGATGGACCAATGGCTCCAGGTGACTACAGGACTCTCAATCAATTCTCTGTGCATAGAACAACCTAAAGAGCAATGACTGCCTTCCTGCCTCCGGATGTGGTTGGGAAGTACATCTTCCATCTTCTTGCTGATGTCTTACTGAGGTCCTGGTCTTTGATGATGCTGAACAAATTACCCAGGCATCAAACTATTATCTAATATGATACTCATGTACAGCCAAAGAATTTCTCCAATCTCATTTCCTCCCTCTCCTTAATATGCATCCCTTTCTCCTGCAATGAGATCTATGTAGTTATTTGCTTTCTTCTGCCCTCTTCTTCATCTAGTGAACTCGTATGGATCCTTCAAAAGGCCTTCCTCTGCCTCAGGGATCTTCCCTTGCTCCAGTTAAAACGCCCCATCTCTGTTTACTTTAGTATTTATACTGCACTGTCGAAGCCCACCTACCAAGACCACCAGTAGTAAAACCAAGTTGGGTTTATTAACTTGTTGCAACAATTGAGATCATGCATCATAAGAAACTGCAAATGTCTCAATAAGAGGGTGTTAGGAGGGGCTCCTTCTAGGATTTGGAGTTAAATTAGCTGATTTTGGAAAGTATTAAAGGAGGTAGGGGTCTCTTCTGGATTGAGTACTATCTGTAACAAATTTCTATAAACTTGGTGGCTTAAAACAACATAAATTTATTCTTACAGTTTTGGAGGTCAGAAGTTCAAAATGGGTTTTAGTGAGGTCAAATCAAAGTGTGGGTAGGACTGCATTCATTGTGGAGGCTGTAGGGGAGAATCCGTTTCCTTGTCTTTTCCAGCTTCTAGAGGCTGGAAATTTCTTGTTTTGGGCCCCTCTTCCTCCATCTTTGAAGACAGTAGAACAGCACCTTCAAACCTCTCTCTGTGATTCTGACTCTGACCTTCCTGCCTTCCTCTTTTACTTATAAGGATTTTTTTGATTACTCTGGGCCCACCCAGATAATCCAGGATAATCTCTCTACCTCAAGGCCAGTGGATTAGCAACCTTAATTCCCCCTTGCCATGTAATAAAACATATTCACAGGTTCCAGGTCAGAATGGTGACATCTTTGAGGAACCATCATTCTGCCTTCCACAGATTCTATCAGAAAGCGGGCTTAATTCTATGATTGGTGTTTTAACAAGGCTAAAGATGTTATTGTTAAAGAGGCAGCAGTTACTGAAGACGTTTAGTCATTTTTGTGGTTTGAATAGTGTTCTTGTTTTCATCCCTTCTTAGACATGATTACAGAGTAGTCTTGTTTTTGCCTCACTCTGTCATTGTCACAGACTGACCTCATCTGATTTAGATGGTGTATGGGAAGTAAGGAATGCTCTGGCTTACCATTAGTCTTGTCAGGGCTGCTGTTTATCTTTCTCTCCATCGTTAATTGACAGGTCAGATTCCCTCACTATAGAAAGCATATTGTAAGTTCCTCGAGGACAAGCACCATATTTTATTCAACGTTATATCTATAACCAGTGCTGTATCCCAGACACTTGATAAACATTTGTTGAATTAATGTAATTATTTAAAACCTTAGAGAAAAAGCCTCATCCCTTGCTACTTAAATTATGGTCAGCATACAAGAAACATTGCCACCACCTGGGAGCTTCTTCAAAATGCAGACTTTTGGGCTCCTCCTCTACTAAAATAGACTCTGCACCAAGATTCTTCTGTGATTTGTGTGCACATGAAGTTTGAGCACTCACTGCTTCAGTCCTGTTGATTCTTATCCCAAAGAAAGTAGAGAGGAAGCTACATCTCACTGTTGGTTTTTAAAGTGTTGATGAAATGGTATTAACACTTTCAGCAAAAAAGGAAAGTTTAAAAAAATTATCTTTCATATACTTTTGTTCTCTTTATTGCTATTTACAGAAAAATAGTTTATGTTTTTTCATTTTCATTGAGGATAGAAGAAAAGCACTTAAAATTGTAGCGGGAGAGCTTTCTGTTAGATAAATGGAAGTATTTCTTGATTCTAGGGCCTGCCATGCAGAGACCTCTTAGGATATTCTATAAAACTCCTGAATGTGTTGAGTACAGTTGTCTCCGAAAAACCCCGTTATTTCTCAGACACCAATATCTCTTCATGACTTGCCTCTGAGGCTTCTGATATGATCTTTGACAATGGTATTTGCGCTGCAATGTCCTATTTTTTTTCTTCCCTTTCTAATCATCCTCCCCTTTTAGCAATCAGATTTACAAATATGCCTCATTATTTCCATTTTGAAGCTTCTATGTCCAATGCACTCCGTTGCAACTTCAGAAATTTTAAGACTATCCTAATGAACAACCTTAAATTTTAAGATAAAGAAATCTTCGGGACACAGGTTCTAATTTTTAAATTTAAATTTATTTATTTTTCTATTGAGTTTTTGGTCACCAAAGACTGAAGGAATGATGCTTTCAGTAGATTGAACTTGCCATCATTTGTTGTTTTGGCAGTACCATGAAACACTACTTTCAAGGTCATCAGAAGGTTTTCAAGGTCATCAGAAGGACACGACCTCAGGCCTTCCAAAGGGCAACCAGCAAGTAAATAAGTTGAAGCATCATGCCTCCACTCGTTAGTGAGTCAGTCTTAGCACTGAAGTAGGACAATAACCATAATGTCTTAGCCTTTACCCTTTCGACTAACTTAGCTTTGCAGGCTGGTGTTGTCCTGTACATTTATACACATTTCCAGTTGCAAGCTCCAGCACTCCCTTTGTGTCACAGAAGAAGATTTTAGCTCTTCTACCTTGTATCACCAAGAATAGAAGGTAGATGCTAAAAATGACCTTCATATCCCACCGGTGACTACAAGCTTACATCAAAATCGTCCCTTCTTTGGAATTACTGTTTCAGGTTGATTGTGAAATACACGTGAGGTGTTCCTGACAAGAGTCAGTGAGCCTATTATGCACTGAGACGCTGTTGTGATATCACCATATTTCTTAAAAACCGGCCTGGGTTCTACATCGAATAGCAAGTTTCATTAATTAGGTGCTTGCTCTGATGATTGACCAAGTAGCCTCACAAATCGGCTTAGCCCGCAAGCGCTGAGAAAGCAAGGTATCGAAATTGTGTCTTAAGTTAGCCCCAAGACTTGGTCAGCAAGTTCTGGCCCTGTCATGTGACACTTTTTTGGGTATATTGCCTGGCAATCAGATTTGACTGCATATGGTCTTGACCTTAGACCAGCGTTTTTTGACCTTGGCTCTATCGACATTTTGAGCTGGATAGTTTTTGGTTGCGGGGGCCTGTGCTGTGTATTGTAGAACGGCAGTATCCCTGGCCTCTACCCGTGGGATGCTAAGCAGCATCCCCCCAGTCAGGACAAACAGAAACGTCTCCAGACATTGCCAAAATTGCCCATGATGATAAGTCATATCAACTCTAGTTATTATGCCCGGCTAGGAAGGTGTCTCTTTTTTCTCCTTCACCATTTTGCACTTCATCCCATTTTAAGTTGTGTGTTTTGTTAAAGAGGACACCTTACCACAGAACATGACAAATTTCTCAACGTGTGACCCAAGCACCAGTTTTACTGGCGTCACCTGAGCTGCTTATTTCAAATGCAGGTTCCTTGGCCCCACCCCAGACCCAGTGTATCAGGACCTAAGGAGTGGAGCTCAGAAATACGCATTTTAAACAAGTATCCTGGGAGCTTCTTCCACACACTAAACTTCTGAAACTATTGCTGTGGACCGTCTTGTAGAGGCTTCCACATTTCTCTTCTGTGATTCTGTCACTGCATTTTGCTTTTTAAAGCCATGGCGGCTGGGAGCTCATCAGTGTGTCTTAGCAGGAGTGTGTAATATGGTGAGCGAAAGAGCCCTGTGTAGCCTCACACTTAATTGACTAAATTCCGTGAGAGAGGGTTGAACTGTAATCTTGGCCCATCAGTGATTTTGTTCGAGTCATACAATAGCCAAAGTGGTGAGTCCCAGGAAGTCAGCGTACTTCATTTTACAGTTGAATTGCCTTGGGGCCCAGAAAAGTGATTTGCTTAAATTTTCACAGCAAGTGAGTGGCCAAATTAGGTTTAGAACATTCATTCTTCATTCATTCACTCATTCATTCAATTGGTACTTATTAAAAATAAATTACAGTTATACCCAATAGTGAGCTAGGCCCTGAGGAATCAGAGCTAGGCCCTGATTAAAGATATCATTTTTGCTCTCCTAGAAATATGCAAGTTAGTGAGGCGGATATCAACCACACGAATAAAGGCCAAAAGACAACTGTGAAAAGTACTACAAATAGGAGAGAGATGGTGGCCTGCTATGATGCTATGAGTGAACTTTAGGTAATTGTGGGGGGGGGCTGCAGAAAAGTCTCCCAAAGAAAGCAATTGAGCTGGTCTCTGAAGGTTGATGAGAGTTGATGAGGAGAGAGGAGGAGAGAATTCCATGCAGAACAAAGAGCAAGGGCCCAGGCAGGAGAATGAGAAGGAGCAGGATACATTTGAAGAATGAAAAGACAGTCAGTGAAGCTTAAGCAGTGAGTTGGGGGCTTTTAAGTCAGTTTAAAGATTAAAAAAAAAATGATGCTATAAGCAATTGGAAGCTATTGAAATATATTTTAACATACGTGTGTGTTTGTGTGTGTGTGTATTTCTGTGTGTGTCTATCCTAACCAGATCTGCATTCTGTAAACACTGTGGCTGTGGGAAGCAGATTATAAGGAGGGAAAATGGCACCTGGTTAGTTTTGAGGCCACTGGAGCCGTCTAGGTAGCTAAATCGGTAGCTTGAATTGGGTGGTGTGGCAGGCTGAATAGTGAGCCCCCAAAGTTGTCCACGTGAATCCCTGCGACCTGTGAATATGTCGCCTTACAGGGTAAATGGACTTGGCAGGAGTGATTAAGTTAAAGATCTTGATGTGGGGAGGTGATCCTGGATTATCCAGGTGGGCCCAATGTCATCACAAGGGTCCTTATAAGAGGGAGGCAGGAGGGTCAGAGTCAGTAGGACATGTGACGACAGAAGCAAGAGATTGGAGTGATGCAAGGAATTGGCCACTGGACAAAGAAGGCAGGTGACCTCTAGAAGCTGAAAAAGGCCAGAAAACGGATTCTCCCCTCAGAGCCTGCAGAAGGAACCAGCCATGCTGACACCTTGATTTCAGACTTCTGACTGCTGGAAATGTAAGATAATAATTTTGTGTTGTTTTAAGTCACCAAGTTTGTGGTAATTTGTAGCATTAGGAAACAATAAAACAAAT